GGGCTGGGTGTAATTAGGCAGAAGCCCTCAGAGCGCCCGGCAGCGCGTGGGGGCGCAGGGCTGGGGTAGGTACCCCGGCACGCCGCGCGCAGTGCCCGACTGCCGCCTTTCGGGCGCCACATCTGCTCCTTAATCGCTTTCCATTCCTTTCAGGAGCCGGAAAATTCAAATCCGAAACATCCCACCCCAGCTGCGATGGGAGGTAAGGGCAGCAAGCAGAGAAGCGCAGATCAGATTTAAGGACCAATTCCCCCCCCGGTTTCTGTGCTCGGGATTAAAGTTGATTTATCCTTTGTTATTAATTGAGCCTGATTGCACTGGGTCCTCGCACCCACGTAGCTTATTCCTCTTCCATTGCGGGAGCAAATTCAAGTGGTAGAAGCTACACCAACAAAATCGCCGTTAATAACAGGGTTATATCATTTCTCTGTTGTATGATTTATCGGTTGTGGATCCTTTCTTCCCGCCGACTGCTGGGACTTCTCCCCGGGCCCCCCCTGCCCCAGCTGGCTCCGAGGGTCCAGCGTCCTGGGGCAGGCAGGAGCCTCCTTCGCCTAATTGCTTGTGAAATCTTAATGACTAGAAAGCTGCCCTTATTGATTGATTGTGTTTCCCTGGTTTGTCCTGATGGTCCCAGGGTAAAGTGGGGGGGCTTTTATTATTATTTTTCTCCCTTTTCCAGGTTCTGGATGGTTTGCTAGCCCAGTATGGCACCGTAGAAAACTGCGAGCAAGGTAGGACTGGAAAAAGGCGCTGTATTTAAGACAGTTTCTGCCCCAGCTATTTTGGGGGCGGGGAGGAGGGTGAGGACAGACGCGCGGTTTTGCCTTTATCAGCAGAAGCCACGGCTAAAGATGCCGAGAGGTCTCAGCCTGGTTGCTGGAGCTATTTTTTGTTCCCTATTGCTCAAAGACGGGTGCCACGCGGTGGCTTTGGGCCGCACACGTGGGTGTCCCTGCGCTGGGTGCTGGGTCGGTGGCTTCCCCACCGCAGCCGCTTCGGGGGACGGTGCAGGATGCTCTCTCGAGGCGGGCTGGGGACTGTCTGTCTCCGCTCAGCCGATTTTATCTCAGCCTCTAATGGTGATCGGTTGAGCCAGGAGGTTTAATATTGCCCCGGGGATGCTTAATGAGAATAGAGTTACCATAACCCTCCTAGAGATGGCAAGGAGGGCTGGGGGGAGCTCCTGGGGCCGTCCCCGGGCTCTGGCGAGGAATGGCAGGATGGAATCGGCTTTGGTCGCTTTGCTGCAGAACACAACGGCTTACGGGGACCCTTTAAATAAGGCGGGGGGGTCTGTGCAGCCCAGGATGAGCCCCGGCATGGCCTGAGCCCGCGGACACCTCTGCCTTGCAGGACAGAAATGTTTGCAGATCCCTGGGGAGCCCCAGGGGGACTTGTCCGAGGGGGGACTTGTCCGAGGGGGGACGCTCCGCTTTTCGGGGGGCCCTGGCGCTTGCGCTGCCTCTCTAATTGCTGCCTCTTTTGCTGGCAGTGAACACGGACAGCGAGACGGCCGTGGTCAACGTCACCTACGCCAACCGGGAGCAGACCAGGCAGTAAGTGCCCCATGTCCCTGTGTCCCCCGGGCTGCCCTCCCTGCCGTGGCTCGGGCCCCTTCCCCACTTGCAGGAAACAGAATTCCCAGGGCTGGGCGTTGGATTACCCCAGAATTCCTAAATTTTTGCTAAAAAATGCCGCAAATCACTGAGGAACCTCCCCAGAGCTCTGATTTCTTTTCCTTCTCCTTCAGCTGAAAGCCTTCCCGAGGCCATCCATGCTTTTAGGCTTTACTCTGCGGTGCGGAGACTAAAACCATAACTTTTTGCTCAAGGAAAAGCGGAGATTTTCTTGTACTTACGTGATTTCAGGAGTTCCGTCTCCAGAAAAAGTAATAATGAGACCAAATACCATCCGGGCTGGGAGGCGTTGGGCAGCCCGTGTCCTCTCTGGCTGATGGCCGTGTCACTGGGGGCTTGCAGCCCTGTCCCCCACCCCACCCGGGGGAAACCAGGCTTTGCACTAAATGCAAATGGAAAATTCATTGGGTTTTCACCGCTGTTTATGTCACTTCCCTTTTGCCCTGACGAAGGGCTCTGGAAAGCTGGAGAAGGGACGGGATCAGCACCTTCCTGGGAGGGCAGCCTGGAGGCGCGTGGGGATGGACCGATCGGTTTTTAGCCAGGGAGGTTTCTGTCGCCCAGGCGGGCACGTCTCAAATGTGGCCAGCGCGGCCGCCCCGCCGTCCCTGGGGACCCCGCCTGTGGTCGCTCTGCCAAAGCGCCAGCTTCCAAACGGCCGCCTGCCTGGGAACGCTTCGGCTGTCAGACCCGTGGCCGCTGGGAATTTGCTGTGGTTGCGTGCGTGGCCGCAGCAAACCCTCTCGGGGGAATCGCGGTCTGGTTTTACTTTTTGTAATAACGCGGGGCTGGGGCCAGCCGTGGAGCCTGGCAAGGGGGACGTTCCTGGTTTGGCCTCCTCTCCCTTGCCAAGCCACACCAGCCCTGTGCTTTGCAGCCCATAGGATGAAATATTTTGGGTTTCTTTCGCTGGGAAGCACCCAGCAAGAGAGTTTGGTGTGGGTGGTTTTGCTCTTTGGTGTGCAGCCCTTCTCCCCTGCTTTTCCCTCCTCTGGGGACGCGTGTGCTTCATCCAGCATCTTCTGGTCCCTTGGCGTCCTACAGGGATGGGGCTGCTAGCAGGGAAAGTCTCTGTGCAGCCAGTTTTAGGGGGTTTTGGGTGGTTGGGTGGGGTTTTTTTTTTTGCAAGAGTTGAGTCACTGACCACTTTCTGGAGAGCTGCAGTTTTGGTTTTCCCCATAGAAAGCCAGGGAGGTTTGAAGGAGCTGCAGAGAGCGGTGGCCAAAGCCATCACTTTGCTCTTGCTGCCAGCCCCATCTATCGACAGCTCTCAGCTCTTGCAGTCCCCAAAGTCCGGCTGGGAGAGGGATTTGAAAGAGCAGCCAAAAATCATAAGGCGGAGGAGATGTGGGAATTGCTCCCTGCAGGATCCTCCCCTGCACCCATCACTCTCGTGTCCCCCCCCCGCCCCGTCTGCTCAGAGAGGTTCCCCTTAAAATCCTTTGGCTCATCCAGGCGGGGTGATGTCTCCTTTCCCCCTCCTGGTGCTTCCTTGCCAGGCATTACGCCAGGGAGGGGCTTGGTTCATTTTGGGTTGAGCCGATGCGCTGCTGCTCGGCGCAGGAGCGTGCCAGGAGGGACCCCCACCCCAACCCCTTCTCCCCTTCCAGAGCCATCATGAAGCTGAATGGGCACCAGCTGGAGAACCACGCGCTGAAGGTCTCCTACATCCC